GTGCGTTAACTCGAGTGTTGCTATTAAGCTGTTGAGGCTGTGAGCGAGGTGCAAGGAGTAGGTTAATGCGGTGGGCTTAAGGGGTCATAAAAAGGGAGTGAAGTGAATGACCGTTGATGTTCTGATTTGGAGGGGAAGTATGTCTGTGTGGAAGGAAGTAGACGTTATGACTCCACCATACAGTGTCCTCTACATCGTTATGACACCACCATCCAGTGTCTTCACCAATGGTCTGACACGACCATACAGTGTCTCCTATCCTTTTTTATTTTTATGTATTTTCTTGTTTTGTTCCTCTCTTCAAACTCAAGTTGGTTAGTTTCTATCCTCCTTGAGTTTGCGGGGGGCTGTTAGAATTTACCATAACCCACTCCACCTACCACCTCCACTACCACACACACTCACCTACTTCACCTACTTTCCTACACCTACCACACACACTCACCTACTCCCAAATCCTCTCCTATATAATAGGAAGCCTTGTAATATCTACATATCATCAATCTTGTAATATACACAATTATTCAATAATACATCAGTTCATTTTACAATATATATATATATTTAGGCTTTTATTTATTCTCTTACTTTTCTCATTGTTTATTTTATATATAATAGTTAGTGATTGATTTTTTGTATAATATAAAGCCATTAATTATTAAAATAAAATGTAAAAAACTCAATTTATAGTGATTTAAAAATATGAAATATATTGGATCAAACTTAAAAATTTATAAAAATTGATCAATATTTATTTTAAAACCCAATAAATATGATCATGGCCGCAAATGTGCGTATCGGTAAGTTTTTTTCAAATTGTGCGAAAAATAAAAAATTCACGGTTCGGGTTACCGCAACCGTTACGCTACGGCCTTTACACCCCGCAACCGCAACCGTGCGACCGCCATCGTTACGGCGACCGCAACCACTTTTCAGAACCTTACTTTTATCAAAAATAATGAACTAAGCATCTCCAATGGAGCTGCCAAAGGTGCTGTCAAAGCTATAATTTAGCAAGAGTGACAAAAAAATTTAGTAAGAGTGACAAAAAAAGTCTCCAATGGCCTACTATTCTTCTTGCCAAAGATAGTAGATGCCATTTCTGTTCTCAAATTTGGTAGGTTGAATAGTAGGTGCCAAACATGCCACATCATCAAATATCAACAGATTTTTGGCTCCAAATTCAGTTGAAAAGACAGAATTCATTCACTAGAAAAATCTCCCAAATTCGATTTCAGATTTTTATACTTTTTAGCAAATGCTTTCAATTTTTTTTTTATTTTTTATTTTTAGATCTATACACTTAAAAATATAAAATTTATACAATTTTTTTTTTAAAAAAAAAATTCATTGAATACAACAAAATACTAAAATATAAAATTGTTTTTAAGAACTCTAAACCAAACAGATTGTTTTCTCTGCTTCTCATCAATCAAACTGAAGTTTAAAACAATAGATATTGAAGAATAACAATTTGTCAATAACAGGGAAGTCATATCTAGACGAGTAAAGATGAATAAATGATAAATTAAATGCTCTAGTTTAATAAACAAATCAAGGAATAGAATCAAGCCCTAAAACTTGGTGCTCGGCTTCAGTAGAAGCAACTGAGAAGCGGATCTCACATGAATTGCTTGAAGCTGCTAGTTTGAGATCATCAGAGTTGAATTTGATAGCGAACATGCTCTACATATCTCTTCGAACGAAGAAGAGAGAGAGAGAGAGAGAGAGAGAGAGAGAGATTGCTCTCATCTTAGATGAGAGTAAGATAGAAAGGGGGTTGGGGTTTCTCTTGAGATATGTGAGGTTCATTCTAGAGGATAGATCTCAGTCGTTGGATTGTTATTAATTAGCCGTTGGATTACAGTAGATTGTGCTATTTTGTTCATTAAAAAAAATAATAAATAAACTGTAAAACAGAAGTCCAACGGCTATAAATAATTTTGAGTATTTTTTATATTCCATTGTAATTTTGTTTTTTGTAGTGGTTTGTTTTTTGGTGAGGTAAATTATATTTAAATTTTGTTTTTCAATTTTTCAATTTCTTTTTCATTTTTTATATTTGTCTAGTCGGGTATAATGTAAAAATATAATTTTTTTTTACAAACAGTTAAAAAAAGCTCACAAAAGACAAAAAAAAAAAAAAAAAAAAAAATCACTAAAAAACCTATATCCAAACAACATCTACAAACTTATTAGAGGGAAAGTTAGTTGAGATTTGCCAAAATAGCATGTGTACCATTGGAGCACCAACGCTATAATTTGGCAAATTACTACAATTCATTACCGAATTATAGCAATGGCAATGGTATTATAGCAAATACCATTGGAGATGCTCTAAGGTGAGTGAAATTTTGACATGACAAACGTTAAAGATGGCTCACAATGCTCATAGAATGTGTTGCTACATGATTAATTTGAAAAAGGAACTACGTTTTATTGGATGTTTAATTGTTAAAAAAAAATTTATTCTGGACTAGAAGTACCTTAAATTCTTATTATGTAAACTATATAAGTCTACTCCTATCATACCACAATTTGATGTACCACGTTCCCATTCCACAATCCTGAATGATCCATGTAATGTAGGACATGGGTATGCGACACAACATTGTCACAACATGACACACTGCCACGTTGATTTTCAAAAAATATTGGACACAATACGCTTAGAATACGTTAAAATTATATATTTTTATATCATTATATGTTATATATATGAATAATTTATTCAAACATAATGAGAAATATGTTACATAACACTAATTACATTAAAAAGTTACATATTTCATAACTTAAATATCAAGATATTATTCACATAACAATTATATTGTAATGAATACAAAATAATTACATGGCATTATAATACATACAGAGCATCATAATACATATGATGTACTCATTATATAAATATTTCAAAAGATGTTTTGAGTGCATAAGTGTGTTTTAAAGAATGCAAAACATTGTTATTATGAAATAATTCACCATATAAGACATGTTCGAAGGATTCAAGAAGTGTAAGTGCTCGCTGAGTGTCAAAAAAGTATCCGATATTATGAATATGGTTTTTTAATTGGAATTACATCAAGACCCCCGCAACTATTAACGAATATCATCTTACTCCCCTCATCTATGAACTTGTACATATTGATCCATACAATTATAAAAATCTTACAAATACACCCCTTTTGAAGGTGATTTGGAGGGGGTAAAAGTAATACATTTTTATAGTAGAAGAGGTCAAAATGTACGGATTCAAAGATAAGATGGGTAAGTTGATATTCAATAATAGTTGAAGTGGTCTTGGTGTAATTAACCCTTTCTAATTAAGACACGTCGTAGAAGTGTCACACACTTTCAGGGGTGCCCAAAGAGCGTTGGTGTGATACACAGGTGTCAGACATGACACGCTTCCTCTCTGGAAGTGTCCGCGCTTCTTAGGATTTTGAAGTTGGAATTAGTCATACTTGAAAAGATTAAGATAAAATTGTCAAAGGATTAGAGGGGAAAGAAAAGGGAAGGGAGGTTTCAAGTCAGTTCCTTTCATGCATAATGCAACATGTAGACTTGTCTGAAACGATTTAACATACTTTCCACAAGGTTTTGTTACAATGTGTTCAAATTCAAGAAACTTCTAAATGGAAACTGTCGGCAACTGTTTTTGCAAATTCTTTTTCCCCACAAAAAATGTTAAGCCACCCTTTTGTCGATTTTAGTTCAAACATGAAATATACAAAATTTAGGCATTAACAAAAGCCTAGTTACTCTGAACCTCAGTGACGAAGCATCCCTAGCCTTTTTTAGCAACCATTTCACTAGAAGCATTATAGTTCAAGGTGATCATGATTAGTATTGTTGAATAAGACAGGAAAAGTGTTATAGTATTAGTATTTATCAAAAAAAAAAAGTGTTATAGTATTAGTATCCGAGGGATGCCTTAAAATATTTTCGGCTATGACTGCAGGTGCAGATCTAAGAAGCACAGAGATAGACATTGCAAAATTAGGATACAAATATAGCAAGGATACAACAAAAACATATAATACATATATGTCTATGGCTATAATCATATAAATTTAGGGCACAAAGCTATAGGAGGCATCAATAAATGTGCGGGTGTATTTTATTCCCCTCACTTGTTTCTACATATTTACTTTAACCCCAATTCATTTTTCTAAAATTGCAAAAAAAACCCACATAGGTGTCATAAGGAGTGTCCAAAAGCAAGACACACATGTCCATATAGTGTCCCTATAGTGTCCCCTAAGTGTCCTACATAAGGTAATACTTTAAAAAATTGACACATCACGTATCAGACACCAACACGCTGTGGACATGTATGGGACACGGTGATGGACAATATCATGCATGAGTAAAGAAAAAGACAGTTGTATTGATAAATGGAGAATAAAAAATGTTAATCTGCTCTGAATTCCAGAAACAACGTCATTAAAAGATTTATAAGCTACATATGTAGGTCACTAGTCCAACAAAATCACAGACATGATTACTGATGCAATCCTTTTTTAGATGCTCAGAAAATCCACCATCATTAACTTAAAAATTGAGCAATAACAACTGCAGTTCACCATTTTTTTGCAGAACTGAACACAGAGACAATATTAACTAAAATCCACAAACAGAAATACATAGCCACAGCCCATGCAGAGTTCCTGTGTTTGGCACCTATATGTTTGTATATGTTAGTGTGAAACGCAGTCCATGGCTTGCATGCCGCAAGTGCTTTCGAGTGAGTACACTGGGCGTGAGGGAGGGTGTGAAACAAAGTCTCACATCACCTAAGTACTAAAGTAATATTAAGCATATAAGCGTGAGGGCACCCTCACCTTAATAGCTAGTTTTTGGGGTGAGTTCTACCCAAGACCGTGTAACAGTTAGATGCAACACTCATGTCTGGTCCACAATCATAATTTATAAATGTTATGTTTTCAAATTTCCAAAAGATTATAATGATTAACTAATTAGGCATTTCATCAAGACAAAATTACCTCAGACTACAAATAAATAATTAAAAAGAAGCTAATAACCTGATCAAATTTGCGTCCTTGGATTATATCCGCAAGAGCAAGACAAGAAGCCTCGCGTGAACGCCAAAGCCTAGACCCACATTGTATGAATAAATCATCAAAAATAATGTCCAAGTGTTCATCAATTGTTCTCTTTGAATCTTCCACCAGTGATTTCCAGATGTGTGCCATTGCATCCTAAAGCATAGCACGACTAAAAGCAGTGAGCAAAGACCATAGTGAAAATAGTCATCAAAATTTATGGTTGAATGGATATGCTATTTAATTTCTCAAGGTGTTTCAAATTCCAAAGAAAAACAATGTAAGTGGTGGCATGTGGAAACCTGCAAAATAATCAACAAATATTGAATGCGGTAAATCAAAGCCAGAGGAAACTTGAACAGCAATCATACTCAAAGAGCCTAATAAACATAACACTTGCTCCAGCACAAGAAAGGAGGTGTACCTGCACATTTTTATCAGGATCATACTGGTATCGAACAAGCCTTGGAATCAATAAACGAAGGTGTGGCTGTAGAGCATCCCCTGCTTGCTTGGCTATCTTAGAAAACCCAAATGCAGCACCCCTCTTGGAATTCATAGAAGCCTGATAATTAGCCAAATCCATGAACTTATAGATCAAGTCTGGCTGTCCCATCTCGTTTGCCAGGTTGCAGAGCTCCTTATAAGTGCTAAGTTTCCCTCCACTGAGACTTTCACCAATAGCACCTTCATGGAAGACCTCAGAGTCTTCTACAAGCTAAATAACAAACTATAGAACTTCAGATATTTTTTTCTGAACAAATGATATAGGAAGGGAAATTGACATTACCTTAACAGCTCTCTTTCTTTTTCCTGAACCAGTTAGTGTGCCAACTAGTGCATTTACTAAATTCTTCTTCATTGAAGCATCGCCAAATTCATAGACAATACTCAGTCCTTGGGATGCCAGCTCCTGAGTAAGTTCATTTTGCTCACCTAGTAGGTGGGTAAATGCTTCCTGCATTCATGTGAACAGGTTTAGACTGATTCTAGTCTGTAATGCTGGTAGGAAATTGAAATAAAAAATTGATAGTAATAGATGTCTTAACATCTAGAAAGACTTTCACAATAGTGGGTTCGTACAGATCATGCAAATGTTTCCAATTGCTGCCACACAATTGATATTGGGAAACAATAGAACTGATCATAAAACATTATTAAGAACAAGCATGCTTTTCACGGTTGGGATGCCTTAAAATTGATCGAGGCACGAGTTTCCATGCCTTATCTATTTAGCAATAAGTGTCATGTTCAGATTCAGTATCTAACAGCCATAATAGGTATAGGATTTGGCATGTAATGTAGTTCACCTATATGTTCACAAAGTTAGAGCCTCTTTGAAACATTAGGAAGCAGAGAAGGTATTCAGGCTTTTAGATAAATTGGGATTTGGGACTAGGGTTCAAAAGCTATGAGTTCACTAGACTTTCTAGATGAATTTGTTGGTTTCAATATGTGCAAGATGATTGGGGTTCTTAAAGTGTGATTTACATATCATAACAACTACAACAATAACAATGGCAATAACTATAACAACTATTACTATAAAGATAACAAGTCTCAATAGTGACAAATAATATATTAGCAGCATAGTACAAAGATCGAAAGGAAATTTCAAGAAGAAGAAGAAGAAGACAATGATGATAACAATGGAGAAACCATCACACTCACTAACAGTTAAATGACAAAACTAGGGTGCAGGTTGCACCGCACAAGCCTTTCATAGATTCATACATTGGAATAATTTTTAGGGCCATATTCTGTGACTCTGAGGTACACATACATAAATGAAGTTTACATTACAAATTGAAAGAAAGTTGACTTGCTAATAATAAAATATAGGAAAGCAAAATTATCAAAAAAGAAAAAAAGACAACCAGTAGGTATTTGTAAAGGCATGTTAACATTACAAAATTGCCGATTAAAATAACGTTAACATTACAAAATCGTTTTACAAGGAAAACACACATTAGCCACCGGAACAGCCTAAACCTACAATATGAATTTTCAAAATGATGTTCATAGAGAAATTTTTTATGATGGTTACTTGGGATCTTGTGAGCTCTTTCAAGCCCAGAAACTAAGAGATTTGGAAGAAGGCAATTTCGAGGCTAGTGAGGCTTTGTCTGGCCTGGGCAATTAAGATGATTCATCAGATGATACAGACATAATTTATAAGTGACACAGATGGTGATGAGGAGGATTCGGTCATTCAGCAATGTTACTATGAAATTGGTGCTTAGTTCATTGATTATAGCTAAGGGAAACACCATACAAATTTTTTTTCTTTTAACAAATCACAAGTTGCACAACCTTTCCAATCTACGTGAGGGTAAGGGTAGTACGGATTCTTCTCCATCTCATGAAGGTGTTTTTGTTCCAACTCCTCCTTTTATGTCTAATTCCAAGAGAAAAGCACTTAATGGGGTGGGTCTCATCCCATGTTGTTTTCTGGTTGTTTTACAGCCACTGGTTTGGGTTGTCCTAATGCTGCTATTATTATAGATTTTTTTGGGTAAGTACTATTATTATAGATTATCATGAAAGTAATAAGATATGGTTGACAGATTTAAGAAAGAGTGCTTCCTTTTCTCATGATCAAAATGGTTGGGCTCATTTAACCCAGTTGTTAAAAAATATGGGTTTATCTTTGGCAAGTTTGAATAATAAAAGGAATGGGAAGGACAAGGAGGGTTATATATCCAAAGGAAGGAAAGCTCTGAGAGATGAGAGTAGTAAAAGAAAGGAGGGTGAACTGAAGCCCAAAAGGATGATATATGTAATTAATGGTTGGAAAGGAATGCTAGGGTGTTTGATGCGATTTGGGACAAAATTTGAATACAGCGTAAAGTGCAACCACATCATACTGAATGTATTATAATGCTATTGACAAACCTGGATATCTGGAAGCATTTGTTGGATGCTTGGGTGATGGCCACAATACATTGTCAGTGATAGTAACCAGACGGTTCCAGCACAACGCTCCTCTTTTTTGCTACTGTATAAAAGATCATCGAAAAGCTTTCTAGTAATAGCATTTCTAACCATGACACAACAACCTTCATTGGCTTCAGGCTCTGTAGAGCTATATCTTGAAAGGGATGCAGACACATCTACTGTCAGAAAGTTTGAACTTGTGGAAAGTGAAGTATAGTTGGTTTTGAGAATCACATCAGCAGTCACAGGAACACTGCCCCACAAAAATGACAGAGCCTCGCCAGCTGCAAACAGGATGTCCTCAACCTGCAAACCCAATGTGCAGGAAGTGAAAGCTTTTCTACTATTATGGAGAGCCATGCTAAAAACTCATTGTACATGAATAACAAAAGATTTCCAAACAACCCGACGAATTTTTTGCCTACCTTTGAACGGCAAAGACTGAAAATCAAATCAAGGGCGATGTTTAGATTGGAAGAGGATGATTCATTTACAGACATATGACCCAGGGAGAGAACAATTTTCTGGATAGCTTTGATATCATCGCTGGAGAGTAGCTTGGTCAACTTTTCATGCAAGACTGATAAGATGGCACCTGCAGTGTAAACAGTAATTGAATAAGATCACTTCCACATAGTTCAAAATGCATGTAAAACCAATAAGCTTATAACAGCAACTTAAGAACTTTCACCTGAATTAGAGTCCTGAAGCAGAGGCAGAGGGACCCGTAGTCCAATATGACCTAGAGCTTCCATTGCAACAGAAGCCATTGTAGCAGTCTCAGAGTTAACGATATCAACCAGGTATTTTGCTGTAGCCTGGAGCAATGATTCTGAGACCTGTCAGGAAATAAATGTCAGAAATCATCTCATTAGAAGAAAAGAGAAGAAGAAGAAGAAGAAGAAAAGGTTAAGATAAAGAAATGAAATGTACTACAATATAACAAAGACTGTATTCAGTTCACAGATTAAGAAAATGAAACCAAAGACCAGAAAATTTAAGCGCCAATTTTCTTTTCTTTTTTTTTTTTCATTTGTTATTGGAACAAAGAAAAATACATGGGCATGCCAATTACTAGAACACAGCACTTTTTAAAGTTTGGGGCTATATCTTTTACCAGGCATTTGTAATGGTTTCAGTATTAAAAATGTCAGATTGAGGCATCAAAATAAGAGGGAAGAACAGAAAAAAGAATGTCCAGAATTTCAAGAAAAATAGGAATGGCAAAGCGATGAATAAAAACAGGTAACCAAGCCCAACCAGCCTAGAAAATAATACAGTGATAACCAGGATTGGGGCACAGATGGGATGGTTATCAGTGGACACATCAAGCCTGTGATGGTTTGGTTTTAATAGCCTCTGCTCCCCTGAATATTATTAAACTCAAAAATCACTCTGCTCAATGGGGCTGGTTTCTAAAATATATGCCACGTTTTAAAAGACTCTAAAATTCAATCAACTTTTGCTATTAGGTACGAACTCAATATCAGTAACTACACGCAAGGAAAACTTTCATTTTGCTTTTCTGCTGAAACAACATAACAACATTCTAAATATATTCAATTCTTCTAAGCATCCAATTAAAAGCTCTGTAATTTGTTTTTCTGCTGAAACAATATAACAACATTGTAAATATACTCAATTCTTCTAAGGATCCATGTAAAAGCTCTGCAGAAACTTCATGAACGATGAGTGAATAAGATGCACCTCCCACACCATACAATGTCTCAGACTCTCAGGATTAGCACGTTCTGCCAAGTGAAGACCCAACATGAAATCGTGGCACCTAAAAAGTTTGTTCAAGCTATATATCTAACGAGTATCATTCATTGTATTCTTTCCAATTTACATTTTAATGATCATGTCCCAAGAAAGCCTCGTTGTCTTGCCTGCTTTGCTTTCCTTTGTCAAGCGTCAACATAGAGTCGAGTGAGGTAGATCAGGGCTCAGAATTCTTTCTAGTGGCCATTGAGATGAGGCTTCCCCTTTGCATCAATTCTGTTTCAGTGGCAATTTTGTCCGGAGTTTTTTTTTGATAAGCAACATGTAATGTTTGTTAACGAAAAGGATTACATCATGGGACAAGAAGTCCACCGAAAGATTCAAATAACAGAAAAAAGAAAAAAAGAAATACAAACAACTCTCCAATCTGTATGTACCAGTAAAAAACAAAGGATTCTCCTTAAATGGACAAACATGGTATAGTCTGCCAGGCTTTGCATGTATTCAAACCTCATCATAGCCTTAAGAAACCTATCAAATCAATTTCTAGGAGATTGTTCAATCCATAAAGTCACCTCCCAAAATTTCGGTAACTCTCCAATTTCTAGGAGATTGTTCAATTCATAAAGTGAAAAGAAGAAATACAAACAACTTTCGAATGTTGAAGCTTCTGAAGATAGATTTAAAACGGTGGAATGCAAAGGTGTTTGGTAGTTTGGAGGTTCAAAAGGTAAACATTCTGACAGAGATGCGGGGGTTAGATGAGAAGGAGGCTAGAGGGGGTCTTTCTGAAGAGGACTTGGCTCATTGGGATGGGGCTTGGAAGGAGTATGAGTAGGTTGCTCAGATGGAGGAAATTAGCTTTCGACAGAAATATAGATGTTTGTGGTTGAAAACTGGGGATCGCAATATGAAGTTTTTTCATCGAATGGCGAATGGCCATCGGCAGGTAAACCAGATAGGGAGGTTGAAGGTCAGTGGTGAGGTTCTATCATCGGAGGAGAATATTAGGGCTGGCATTGTGGGTTTTTCTCAGCATTTGTTATAGGATGAGGGGGATGTGTGAAGACTGGGTTTGGAGAGGGTGGAGTTTGATACTATTTCTTAGGCGGGTAGTTTGATGTTGGAGGCCATTTTTAGAGGAGGAGGTGCTCGATGCGTTGAGGAGCATGCCTGGAGATAAGGTGCCGGGGCCTAATGGTTTCTCTATTGCGTTCCTACAACAGTGTTAGGGGGTGGTGAAAGCTAAGGTGATGGCTTTATTTGAGCAGTTTCATCAGACAAGGCAATTTGAGAAGAGTCTAAATGCGACCTTTATAGTGTTGATCCTGCAGAAAGGAGGGGCGGAAGACATTACAGGCTTCAGGCCAATCAGTCTTTTGGGCAGTGTATATAAGTTATTGGCTAAGGTTTTGGCTAATAGACTTCAGGGCAGTGTTTTAAAAGGCACGCGCGAGGTGCAATGAGATGCAACCTTGTGCTTTGAATGCGTCAAGGTGAGATGCAATACGTAAGGCGTAGCTTAGACGTTGAGACAAGGGTTTTTTTCCGAGGCGTGAGGTGTGGGCTTCATAGGCTTTACCCATTTTTCTACTCTAATTGTTGATTAAGTGCTTTTTTGTGGGTATTCCCATAGGGATTTAGAACTCTTCAATATAAAATGACCAAACGTGATCAAAAGAGAGCAAAAAGTGATAAAAGATTGAATGTTATGCATTATATCTTTTGTTGGATATTATATTTCTAATTTTTAGAAGATTGAATGTTATGTTTAAAGATTATCAGAAATGGTTATAATTTTTGAAATTCTATATATATTTGTTATGTTAAAAAGTTTGCCTATTTTATAATTTTGCTTTTCTTCTACTACTTGCGCTTCGCTTTGGTGAGGCGTGCTTCACCTCACACCTCGCTCTTAGGCTATAGGAGATCTTATCGCTTCAGTGTGCCTAAAGCCTTTTAAAACACTGCTTCGGGTTGTGTTGGAGGGGTGGTGTCTAAGTCGCAGAATGCATTTGTGAGAAGCTGTCAGATCCTAGATGTTGTGCTTGTGGCTAATGAGTGTGTGGATTCACGGCTGAAGCAAGGAAAGGGCCGGGATTATTTGTAAGTTGGACATTGAGAAGGCATATGATAATGTGAATTGACAGTTTTTGCTTTGGGTGCTTCAGTGGATGGGCTTTGGGGATAGATGGAGGCAATGGGTTCAATTTTGCATCTCTACTGTACGGATGTCAGTTTTAGTAAATGGTACTCCGGCGGGACTTTTTCCTACACGGCGGGATTTGTGTCAGGAGGATCCATTGTCTCTGTTGTTTATTTTGGTGATGGAGGCGTTGGGTTGTTTGTTGTCCACTACGGTCCATAGGGGCATGTTACCTTGCTTCGAGGTGGGGAAGGGACAAAATGCTTTGGGGATTAATCATCTTTTCTATGCGGATGATGCACATATTTTTTGTGATGCAAATGCAGTTAAGCTAGGCCACTTGCAGTGTGTGTTGTGTTTTGAGGCAGTTTCAGGGTTGCGGGTCAATTTCACCAAGTCAAAGTTGATCCCAATTAGTGCAGTGGATCGTATTCCAGTTTTGGCAGTGGTTTTGGGGTGTAAGGTGGTAAATGTTTTGGTTTCATATTTGGGCCTTCCTTTGGTGGCGACTTTCAAGGCAAGGAGAGTGTGGGATGGGATGGTAGATTGGGTGCAACGGAGGTTGGCGGGGTAGAAGCATCAGTACCCGTCCAAAGGAGGGTGGATTACTCTGATTAAGAGTGTCTTGTCTAGTATTCCGACCTACATTATGTCGGTGCATGTGACTCCTGTGGCGGTTGCTAAGCGATTGGAGAAGTTACAACGAAATTTTCCGTGGAGTGGTGGGGGGTTCATTATCATTTGGTGGCTTGGGAGAGGGTTTATACTTCTAAGGAGAGTGGGGGTTTGGGTGTGAGGAAGCTGGTTTTATTTAATCGGGCTCTTTTGGGAAATGGTTGTGGCATTTTGTGGAGGAGAGGAAAAAATTATGGAGGAAGGTGGTGGTGGCTATGAGGAGTTATGGGGTTGGGTTCAGTCTTCGGGTAGGATACGCCATTCCCATGGTCGTGGCTTATGGAAGGGGATTTGATTAGGCTATGAGGAGTTATGGGGTTGGGTTCAGTTTAATCTAGGGATAGGAGATAGGGTTCGCTTTTGGCAAGACAGGTGGTGTGGTGGTTTGTCTTTGGCGAGGTTGTTTCCTTTGATTTATGCTATTGCTTTTGATCCTGAGGAGATGGTAGTAAGGGCAGGGGTTTGTTTGGAATGTTCATTTGCATCATGCTGTGTAGGATTGGGAGTTGGAGCAGTTGGTGGTGGAGTATTGGGTTTTCTGTATAAGTTGCATTTAGAGGGGGATGCAGTGGATACTTCGGTATGGGATTGTCCAAGATCTAAAGCGATTTTTTCAGTGTCCTCATTTTATCAGGCTTTGCGGGTGGTGATGTAGTTGGCTTTCCCTGGAAGTGCATTTGGGTGCCAGGGTCACCGTCTAAGGTGGCGTTCTTTGTTTGGACGATATTCATGGGATGTATCTTGAGTATTGATAACTTAATTCGTCGTAGACATGTTTTGGTAAATTGTTGTTGTTTGTGTTGCGGAGATGTAGAGACGGTGGATCACTTGCTTATTCATTGTTCGATAACTTCGTGACTTTGGATGTTGATTGTGGCTATTTTTGTTTTGGCTTAGGTATAGTCTTTATTTGTGGTGTTGCAGAGTTTGGGGGGGCGGGCAGAGGCAATGAAAGGCATGGCTACTTGCTTCTCATTGTTTGCTTTGGTTAGTATGGTTAGAGCGTAATAGCCATATTTTTCAGGGTATTGCCCATTCAATTCCGTGGTTAGAGAATCGTCTTAATGTGGGTACTTCATAGTGGGTTACGGTTTGAGTGATCCTCATGTTTTGATATTTGTTGATTTTTTGAAGGACTTAATTAGTTAGTTTTGTTTTGGGCCCTTTATGGGTTCTGTTCTTTTTATATTCTTTTCATCGCCTTGATGCTTCTCTAATAAAGTTTGTTTATTTATCAAAAAAATTAAAATAAAATAAAGTGTTTTTTTAAGGTTTTAAAAAACGGCCGCAGCCATTACGTAACGGTTGTGGTAGTTACCACCACCCGTTAAAGCCGCTATAGCGGTGTGACGAAAATTCACATATGTAACGGCCATTTCGATGTTACATAATGGTCCTAGCAGTATCGTAATGGCCATAATGGTTCGTTACACACCATTACACCCTTCTACAATGTTCTAAATAGCTTCCTTTCTCAAAAAAAATAACAAAAGCTTACAAAAAATGAGCAAACACTCAAGTGATCCAAACTCAAAGAAAAAATCTTAAATGAATTTTTTTTCTTTATAATTTTTTTTTCATTATATTAGCATGTAAAACAAAATATATATAAGTAGTGGTTGCATTTATTTTTATAATTATTTTATTGTAAATAGTTTTTATTTTGTTACTGTAATGTGTTGTCTAAAAAATGTCTTTAAAAAACAAAATAAAATCAATAGCTCAAAAATAATTTTTGTTTATGGTACAATTTTTATTTTTATTTTTATAAGCACTTCATTTAATACTAAATTGTAAATAATTTTATTTAGTTAACATAAAGTGTAGTCTAAAAAAGTGCCTCAAAAATAATTTTTGTTTATGGCACAATTTTTATTTTTATAATCATTTCATTTAATAATTGTGAATATTTTTTATTCAATTAATTCACGTATGGTCAAAAATAATTTGTAGACATTTAAAATTAATTATTCTTAAAGTAATTAACTATTGAAATAAAATGTAAAAAGCTCATAGTGAGTTGAAAATATGAAATATATTGGATCATAGCTAAAAATTGACAAAAATTGTTCAAAATCTATTTTCAACCCCAATAAATGTGATTCTGGAAAGAAAAAAAAAAAAAAAATTGTGTATCGGTAAGTTTTCTTCAAATTGTGCGAAAAATAAAAAAAAATCACGGTTCTAGTTACCGCAACTGTTACGCTACAGTCTTTACACACCACAACCGCAACTGCACCACCGCAACCGCTTTTCAAAACCTTGGCTTTATTCAACCTATAAACCTTCCCAACAGTGGATAGAGATGAAAATCCCAGTGCCACATCCATATATACTTCCTTCTCCAAATCACCATGAAGAAGTACATTATTCACATCTAGTTGTTGAAAGGGCCAACCCAGATTGGTTACACAAGAAAGAAGAACCCAAATTGAATTCATCTTTGCCACAGGGGCAAAGGTGTCCTGCCAATCAATACTATAAGTCTTGAGCAGACCCCTTGGCAACAAGTCTTGCCTTGTATCTCTCTATTGTCTACTCCACTTTCTTTTCTTTGATTCTCTTTTGTTGAGGATGCCTCATCCTCATCTCTTTTTTTTGATTAATCAATAAAATTTTTGTTGTTGATAAAAACAAAATTATCCCATCCACTTTCAACTTAACAAAGAACACCTACTTATAGTTCACTAGTCTTTTCAGTTGAAAGATGAACAAACTCCCAAGTATGATTCTTATTCAAATTTATTTATTTATTTATTTATTTTTTGTTTTGAGAGCTAATTCTTATTCAAAATTTTACCTCTTCTACCAGAGCCTCTTTTGACTTGGAATCATTTAAGGGCTTCTTTCCAAGATTAAGTTTAGGAGCAAGAAGATCATGAGAGAGATTAAACTTTAACAAGTTAACGTTCAGCCAAGCCAAGCAAAAGAAGACAATCAATTTCATAGCATGCATCAATAGGTATAAAACCTACTACAGAAAATCCAAGTTTTTTATAATCCAAGTAGTTATGAAATCATTAACCTGCTTAATGTACATGCTACAAGCATGGGATATGATTGTAAGCAAAAGGGAGAGAAAACAACATTACAACTGACACTTACAGTAGGCGTCCTTGTCATGCAATCAGCAGTAACATATCCTAATGCACACAACACCCCATGCTGTGTTTCAAACCTACACAAATGTTAAAAAAACAAAAAAAAACTCTCAGTAAGAAATACTGCAATAGTGACCTCAAAGTAGATGCAAAAATTGATGGAAAAACAAAAATAGTACAAACCTTAACTTATGTACTGCAGAAACTGAAGAAATTAGTTCGCTAATAACATCAGGCAGCGCGGACACCGGAAGAGCATGGGAAGCAATTCCAAGTAAACGTGCTATAGCTTCACGGGTATCGAAATCCATGTGACCCAAAAATTGCTTTAACCACGAAATTTTCATGGCATAGCGTGATGCTATCATCTGGATGAAAATGATTCATTAAAAAGGAAGACACAACTAGGAGACACAAACTAAACAAGAAAGCAAAAGAAATCCCTGAAATAACCTCTTGAAAATAAGTTCCAATTGTGATTAGTGCCTTGGAGGCATTTGAATGCAACTCAACAGAGCCTTCATATGCCATAGCATGTTCCAGTAGCAAACACATATTCTCCACTGAAGGCCAATACTCCAGAATTCTTTCTACTGTCCTGTATTGTTCTGCATCTGCCTCAAAGCATTTCAACAGAAATTTGATCATAGCCACATATGTTTTTGAAGGGAAAAGAAGCTTTGCCTCCCTCATTTCTGTGGCCTCTAGTAATGCTGGCTGCTGTTTAAGAATATAATCTAGCATATCTCCAAGTTTTGGGTATTTAAGATTGTTATAGTCACCAACAGCTCCCCTTTGACCTTCACCAGGAAACAAACCTTCAGGTGCCATTTCCTTACAAAATATCAGTTAGCAATCATGCACGAAACAATAAAACAATTTATAAGCATTGACCAAATTTAGGGTTCATCACTAATTAAATAAAAATTGAACTGTGTCAATTGCGATTTGAAGAAAAGAACGTCAATACTACTGACTTTATTTTATTACTGGGGTACTTAAGCAGTATTATAAAAAAAACTAGTCAACAACATCGCCATATATATATATGTAGAGAGAGAGAGAGAGAGAGAGAGAGAGAGAGAGAGAGAGGAACATAGAATAAAGTCTAAGTCCTCATCTCTTGCATTGTAACAATTTTTGTTCTCTGTCGTTCCATTACTTGTTCTCAAGGACAAGAATTAAACACACAAAACAAAACAAAACAAAAAAAAGACAACAATTTCCAGAAGTTAATAGGACATGAACTAGTCTGGACCAACACCATGAGCCATGGTTAATTATCCTAGAAGATTTACAAATACATAGGCTCTTCATTGACAATTGCACAAAAAAAGCAAGCACTTCAAAAAAATTAGATTGCCTTCCAACACATAGAGCCTCATCCCACTAACTTTTATAAATAAAGAGTAACCATTTTATTAGAAAAAGAGCATCAAGATGATGCTAACAGATATGGCCACTACCAGCTCCACACCAACCTACATTTAGATGTGTAAAGAATCAATAAAATCCATAAAAGCAAATCAGTCCAGAACCACACTTCTCGAAACCCAACTATACAAAACCACCAGGAAAAAATTCTACAAGCAATGCACAGAAACCTCTTTCCTTTGGAAAATCCGCCGATTACGCTCCAACCAAACCAGCCACATCAAACAAAACGGCACGTGATCCCAAGCCTTCCAACGCCTCTTATCCATCCCTCCAACTATGCAAAACATCCACCACACACCCCTACTGCACCCAATCCAAGCCAAACACCAAGAAAATCAAACCCCAAAGTTGGTTTGCCACAAAACAATGAAGTAAAAGATGAGAGGTAAACTTTGCAACCCGACAACACATACAACACCAATTAACCAATATCTGGCAACGTCTAATCAGATTATCCATCGTCAAAATCCTCTCTAGAGTGGTCGTCCACACAAAGAACACCACCTTCGACAGAGCGCCAGCAACCGACACACACTCTGTTATGAAAAAAAAATCTCCACCCCATCCATCTGGGCAAAACAAAAAGATGACACCAAAAAAATCCCTTTAGCACCCTTCCACCACCATACCAAACAATCCGGCCCCATCCCTACCTCTGGAATACCATACAACAAAGCCAATAGGTCCAATTGGTCATTCTCCCAATCAAAAACCTCTCTCCGAAGCCTAACATCCCAAACCATCCACCCAGCATCTAGTGACCAATAAGAATCCACCACAGCCTCCCTATCCATTGCAATGCGATAAATCGATGGAAACCGAAGCGCCAACTTTTTATCCCAATTTTGATGGCATCCAACCCAAAACTAAGTGATAGTGGGTGGAGAGGCCTCTGGATTATATGGACCAAGTCTTATCCATACTACTACTCTACGCCACCCAAACTTGATTCATATAGTCTAGAGGCCTCTTGATGCAGAGTATAAGAAGCTCAAGGAAAAGTAAATTCTAAGAAGTGGCGATATGTGGAAATTGGAATGGTTTCAAAAAGGAATCGATAGGAACCATACATTATCCTGTTTCTAGTATTATTATAGTCATGTTTTATGATTATTTTTAGGTGAGGGGTATTTTGGTAATTTTATATTTGCTAACATGGGCTGTAGGAGTTGCTTACGGGTTGTCCTATGGGTCAAGTTATTTAATTAGTTTTCATTCATGTTTCTTATTTAGTCTTACATTAGTTTTAGAAGTCAAAGATATTGTAATAGTTTTCTTTTTTAGTTATAATTGGTTCAAGAAGTCTCCTAATTCTACATAAAATCATGTAATGCTTATAATTTAGTAGAGTTGATATTATATATATAAACAAAATTTGTAGTTTTGAAGTTTTTTTTTGAATTGTGTGATGCAATCAAACCCTAGATGTGATGCCTATGGAATTTAGGTGCGATGCCTAGACTTATCTTCTTCTCTTCTTTCTTCTTGTTTTCTGTTTTAATTTACTGTTCTCGGATTACTATTCACAGACCTCTAAAGTGCATTTTTCAACCTCAAAACTCCATCCAATCACCCTCAAATCAACCCTGATCCCTTCCCCTACCTATTAGCGTTCAATTTAACCCTTGCAACCCTAAATTACTCACTGTTTAGGCCATCAAATAACCTCTGTTTTTAAAATCCAACGCTGTCCCTACTTGTCCTACATCACCTCTTCACCCAAAGCCCATTGATTTTGGGTTGAATGCCTCCAAAATTAGAATCCTAGTTCACGAAGGTCTTGGGTTCAAGTTTTGTCAACTTCATTATCTCTGTCAATGTGCAATCTATTTTGCATGTGCTTTTGCACCTTGTTGACTCAGTCTATTTGTGTCTCCATGTGCAAGACGCATGTGATGGGGAATGTTAGGTTAATATATATTGTTGGCCTCATTTCCTAACAACTTGAGCTTTTGGGTCAATCGTTGATCTAATAGATTCATGTAGCTACAGAGAATCAATTCATGCATAGAGTTACAACACCACAGTTTAGAAGAAGCTCTGAGGATTGTTGAATACTTGCAACCTCCTCTGGTTAATAAACATTTGTTTTCTTAGCTCCGTTTGATTGGGCTAATTAAATTGATAAAGAGGTAATCTTTGCAACTTGGTAAAATAAATGCCAGTCAAGGAGATGCTAGGTCAAGTGCAAATCAATGACACATAGACCCTTTGAACTTCTTTTGACTAAAAATCACCATAAGAATTAAGACCAACCAAAAAAGATTTTTTGAGGCTTTATTGTGATAACAAATCAGCTAGCAATTGTGCTCATGGTCCAGAAAACATGAGGGAGCAATGCACCGATTGTTTATTTTTCCATCCCTACTATTACAAGAATTTCGCAATTTTTTTTAATATATATTTCTAAAATGGCAAACCTCTTTATCCAACTAAGCATTCATAACACTCAACATGTTCAAGTAATTAACTATTGAGAATTTATTAACATCAATAAAAGTTTTTGTTTTTGTTTCTGTTAAGTATTAGTGTATAAGGGTAGTTTTGTCTTTTGTTCCTTTAGTCTTTTATTATTATGTGTAACCCTAATATGTTTAGGTGTGTGAAATAATATACAACAGCAGTGCTCTCTCTTTTCTTCCTCTCTTTCTTTTCTTTCTTTTATGCAAATCTAACATGGTAACAGAGCTTCATCGTCCTCCTTGAAGATTCTTCTCTTGTTTCTTGTTTCTTGCGTTCTTCCCTGTGTAAAAAAAATAAAAAAAAAAATAATAATTCCTTCATGGTTGAAATTTGATGGGTTTTCACCATAGATTTTTATTTTTATTTTTTGATGAGTTTTTGAGTGTTTTTCCAATTTTTGTTGATTTTTGGAAAAGCTTATTGATTTTTTTGGAAGTCCCTGCTGGGGCTTGGTTTTGGCTATTTTTTCCTTCCTCCCTTTACCTTGGGAGCCGACTGGGACGGTCCTAGGGTTGGGAGGACTGGTTTTGATGATTTGGCAAGGTTTCACTCTATTTTTGTCGATTTTCCTTAGTTTCAACATGTTTTCTCTCAGTTTCTGATTGGTTTTGGCCTCTGCAGCCCCTGTTTCGGCTTTGTTTTTGTCTCTAGAGGTAACTTTTGTCCTTAAGTTGAGTTTGTGGATTTTTCTCTGTTTGTTTTTGCTGTTTTGGGCTGGTATTTATTTTTTTCTATTGTAGGCATTTAATCTTCAATGGCTGAGGGTGAGACTAAGGATACAATTAGCGATGAGGGTGGCCTCCGTCGTGTTATGACTCTTACCGACAATCCCTCTCTTCAAATTAGTCTCGTTAAATTGGATGGTTCTAACTATTTGATTTGGTCACGCTCCTGTGGTCTTGCTATTGCTGCTCGCCGTTGACTGGCTACATTACTGGTTCTCTTCTCCTACCGGATGGTAATGACTTACTCCATACTCAATGGATTTCTAAAAATGCTCTTGTTATGACTTGGCTAATCAACTCTATGCAGCCCACTATTAGTCGAAGTTTCCTTTTATTAGATACTGCTCATAAGATTTGGACAGCTGCAGCCCAAATGAACTCCCAACAAGGTAATGACGCGCAAGCCTATGAGTTGAGGAAGAAGCTTCGGAGCTTAGATCAGAAAGATAGATCACTCGCAGTCTAATATGCTGAGTTGAGTAGTTTGTGGCAGGAATTAGACTATTACCAAAGCTTCCAGGCTGTTTGTTCTCGGGATGCCACGTTGTTTCAGCAAACCGTGGAGAAAGAGCGTATGTAGGACTTTCTTGCTAGCTTGAGCTTAGAGTATGATCAGATTCGCGTCCAGGTGTTGGGTCGTTCACCTTTTCCCACTCTACGCGAGGCTTATGCCCTTGTCCAACAAGAGGAGAGTCGCCGTAGTGCTATGGTGCATTCCTTTATTCAGGATCGTTTTGCTTTAGCTGTTGCTCCTCCTACGTGGGCTCCTCGACCTAGTCCGGTTCAGTCTGGGAGCCAGGGTATACTGGCTGATCGAGATCGCTTGAAGTGTGATTATTGTGGGAAAGACAGACATGATCGAGAGCATTGTTGAAAACTGAATGGTCGCCCTACTCGGGGTCGAGGTCGTGGTAGTACAGCTCGACCCCAAGCACGTGTCTGAGATTGCTGTGAGTCCTTCTGAGCCTAGCACTCTTTGATGAGTTACACACTCTCAAGCGTTTGATGGCTCGACTTGACTCTCCTTCTACCACAGTTTCTTCTGCTTCCACTTCTCCCAATTTTGCCAACACAGGTATTCCTGCTAGTGCTCTTAGTACCTTATCATCGCCTTCTTGGATTATTGATTCCGGTGCCACCGACCACATGACAGGTGCCTCTAGTATTTTCTATTCTTATTCTCCTTGTTCCGGCCGAGACAAAGTTCGAGTGGCTGATGGCACTTTATCCTCTGTCTCTGGCAAGGGTTCGGTTCATTGTTCATCTTTGCTTTCTCTTTCATCTGTGCTTCATGTTCCTACTTTTTCCACTGACCTGCTTTCTGTTAGTAGTCTTACTACTTCTCTAAATTGCTCAGTGACATTTTTTCCTACTCATTGTGTCTTTCAGGACCTGGCTACGGGGAAAACGATTGGCAATGGTAGAGCACAAGATGGGTTGTACTTTCTGGATGTCGTTCCTCCTGTCATCCCATCTCAAGCTCTCAAGTGCACTATTGGCTCTTCTCTTTCTCTCCTTCATCAGTGGCATCGTCGTTTGGGTCATCTTTCCTTTAATGTTTTAGAGAAACTTTTTCCTTCTTTAGTTCGTGATTGTTCTAGGAGTATTTTTTGTTGTGATGCTTGTGAACTTGCAAAGCATAAACGTACTTGTTACCCTTCAATTAATAAAAGAAGTACTTTTCTTTTTATGCTTATTTATACTGATGTGTGGGGCCCTTCCCCTGTGGTTTCTACTTTTGGGTATCGATGGTTTGTTACATTTATTGATTGTTTTTTCCATGTGACTTGGATTTACTTGCTTCAAACTAAGAGTGAAGTTTTTTCTTGTTTCCAAACTTTTCATAAAATGGTGACCAATCTTTTTAATGCTCAAATCAAAATTCTTCGTAGTGATAATGGGACTGAGTATGTTGATAGAGTTTTTCGGGCATACCTAGAGGAGCATGGCATTCTTTATCAGACTAGTTGTGTTAGTACTCCTCAACAGAATGGGGTTGCCGAACGCAAGAATGGCCATCTTCTTGAAGTTACTCGCACTCTCTTGTTTACCATGAATGTCCCTAAGTCATTTTGGGGTGATGCTATTCTTACCGCTGCTTACCTTATCAACCGTATGCCTTCCAGTGTCTTCCAATTCCAGATTCCTCTTCAACTGCTTCCTATCGCATATCCCACCTCTTCTCTTCCTCCTTAGGTGTTTAGGTGTGTCTGTTTTGTTCATTTGCAACCTCGTACTCGTGGAAAACTCGATCCTAAGGCTGTGCGTTATGTCTTTATTGGTTATTCTGCTACTCAGAAGGGTTACAAATGCTATGATCCTCACACTCGCAAAGTGTATGAAAGTATGGATGTCACTTTCCGTGAATCTGTGTCCTTTTCTTCTCCGCCATCTCCACTAGGGGAGAGTAGTAGTGGTATGGATGAGATTGCGGATGAGGAGATGGCCTATCAACACGAGTTGTCTTTTTTCCTTCCTAGTCAACGGACTATTATTTGTGGTGAGGGGGAGCCTAATAGTTCTCTTGATGTGGAGCCTGACATTAGTGGTTGTTTGGACAGGGCTGATCTTAAGACTTATTCTCGGCGTCCGAAAGAGCAAGCATCCCTTGTGCCACCAAACCCATCATCATCCCTCATGCCAGTTCCAGGTAATGCGTCTCAGTCTATTCCTCTACCTGTAGTTAAGAGTCCTGTTGTCAATGATTCGAGTCTTCCTATTGCTCTTAGAAAGGGGGTTAGGGCTTGTACTCAACACCCCATTTCTAAATTTGTGTCATATGATTCATTGTCTTCTACATATTGTACTTTTGTTTCATCTTTGTCTTCTGCATGTATTCCCTAGAGTTGGACAGAAGCTATCAATGATCCTAAATGGAAAGTAGTTATGGTAAAAGAGATGCAAGCTCTAAGCAAGAATAACACTTGGGAGTTGGTTTCTCTTCCTAGTGAAAAAAAGTCTGTAGGGTGTAAGTGGGTGTTCACCATCAAGCAGAAAGCAGATGGAACAATTGAACGGTACAAAGCACGATTAGTGGCCAAGAGATTTACTCAGACATATGGAATTGATTACCAAGAAATCTTTGCTCTTGTGGCAAAGATGAATTCCATTCGAGCTATTCTCTCATGTGCAGCTAATTTGGGATGGCCTTTACAGCAGTTAGACGTGAAGAATGCATTTCTCCATGGTGATTTGGAGGAGGAGGTATATATGGATATACCACCACGATTCTCATCTCAGTCTACAGTTGGGAAAGTTTGTAAGTTGAAAAATGTGTTATATGGTTTGAAACAATCTTCTCAAACTTGGTTTGATAGATTCCTAAAGGCTATGTTGAGGTTCGGGTATAAGCAAAGCAATGCAGATCACACAATGTTTGTCAAACGTCATGCAAATAAGGTTACTGTGCTTATAGTATATGTGGATGACATAGTTGTGATAGGTAATGACGAGGAAGAAGTGACACATCTTAAGATGGCTGTTCGCCAAGGAATTTGAGATCAAAGACCTTGGTTCGTTGCAGTACTTTCTTGGGATTGAAGTTGCTAGATCTGACAAAGGCATCTTTCTTTCTCAGCGAAAGTATATTCTAAATCTTCTTGAGGAAACTGCCATGTTAGGCTGCCGACCTGCTGATTCGCCAATTGAGGCTAATCACCATCTTTGTAGTGGTGTTGGTGATCTTGTGGAGAAGGAAAAGTACCAGCGACTTGTGGGAAGACTTATATATTTATCCCACACTCGTCCAGATATTGCCTATGCGGTTGGGATATTGAGTCAATTTATGCATGAGCCTTGTGCCCCTCATTTGGATGCAGTGTATCGTATTTTGAGGTATCTTAAATCTGCTCCTGGAAAAGGGATTTTATTTTCCAATCATAGTCACTTGAGGTTGGATGGAGGCATTCACAGATGCTGATTGGGCTGGTTCTATAGATGACAGGCGATCTACCTCCGGTTACTGCGCATTTGTGGAGGGAAATTTAGTCACATGGCGTAGTAAGAAACAAACAGTGGTGTCCAGATCTAGTGCAGAGGCAGAATACAGGGCTATGACGCATGGTACATGTGAATTGATGTGGCTCCAGTCCTTGTTGAATGATATTGGGTTTGTTTGTAGTGAACCATTAACACTATACTGTGACAACAGAGTTGCCATTAGTATTGCTCACAATCCTATTCAGCATGATAGAACAAAGCATATTGAGATCGACAGACATTTCATCAAGGAGAAATTGAATAAGGGTTTCATATGTATGCCTTTTGTGAAGTCTGTAGATCAATTAGCTGATGTCTTTACTAAGGGTCTTAGTAGTAAGGTTTTTCATCCTATTTGCTGCAAGTTGGGCATGAGAGATATCTTTGCACCAACTTGAGGGGAAGTGTTAAGTATTAGTGTATAAGGGTAGTTCTGTCTTTTGTTCCTTTAGTCTTTTATTATAAGTATGTGTAACCCTAATATGTTTAGGTGTGTGAAATAATATATAGCAACAATGCTCTCTCTTTTCTTCCTCCTTTTCTTTCTTTTATGCAAATCTAACAGTTTCCAAATATTTTCATGCTCTTTCAAATGCTTTTGTTATTTCTCATGTTTTCGAAACGTTTCAAAAAGTTTCCATTTCTATTTGCATTTCCAACCTAACCGAAAGAACGTACTAAAACGAAATTTTGATCTTATTAGAGAAGACGGGAAATTTATCACATTTTAATAACAACAATTGATTTCTTTAACACCAATTTATAACCCATGTTTGACATCACATATGCACACCCCTACAGTACCACCAAACAAAGTACTGGCCAAAATTAACAAAAATAAATAAACAAATAATGAAAAAAAAAAAAAACCCGATCAGAACAATTATGTTGACAATTATAGATAAAGGGCTTGTCATTATAAGAAACATCAATACACAGAAATCCTAATGAACAAAATGATGACAAAAAAAATTGCTACTTACTGAAGCAAATGTAAAGCACAGAGTATGAAAGACCAAGATACCTAATATCCAACTTAGTATCTGCAGCCCCAAGCATACAAATAAATCGGCTTGGACAATGTTGCAACTCAAATAAGGATGTAGCCCATCTCACAGCACAAAAACGTACTTCACTTTGTTCCTTGCAAAATGAAAAATGGTTTACATTGGGGATCAAGAAGCTTATGGTGAAACCAGAATTGTGTGCTGCAGATTAATGACAAAACCATCATCCTAAATTCGGAGAGAGAGAGAGAGGAGTCAAACAACAGATACAGAAGATGACCAGACTGTAAATGAATTATACCAGTTGAGAATTTATCAGCAGAAGTGCCTCCAAATCCTTTAAGACAGTTGTGGGTGCATCCTGATACTCAGGCAAGAAACCAATTAAAAAAGAATTCAGTACGAAACAGAGAAAGAACCAAAACAAAAAGAGTAATTCACATATACAGTGCAGAACAAAGCTAGAATGTTGAAGTAAATAGTAGGCATTTACATGTAAAAGACCACAAATACATCTATATCTTTTATCTGAAATTTTATTCCCTTCCATGTAATTGAGCTTACATGAAAATGTTTAATCAATACAATCAGAAAAGAAAATTGTAAACTATATCATAAAAAAAAGGACTGAACTGAGATACCCTGTATGCAACAGCAAGGGAGTTGGTCGAGTCTTGGATAATGAGACGAAGAAACTGAGCCTCTGACCTCAGAGCATCAAAAAGCCGAACAGCAATGTCAATCTTATCCCTGATACCACGAAAAAAACAAAAATAGGAAAATGATCCAACAGAATGCAATAACACATAAAAAGAAAACAAAAGCAAAAAATATATATATATAGGAAGGGAGATCATGTACCTGAAAAGTTGAGGCATGCGCTGTGAAAGCATTCCAATAGCTTGATACGCAAAACTTTTGGTGTCTCTAGCAATAGCATCTAAATGAATACGATTATATTGATCCATCAAATAATTTTACCAACTTCTGACAAAATAATTATGATAGACCACTGAAGTTCACAGAATGCATATTGTGTCACAAGTGAACCTGATTCTGAAGTTGAATAATGATCAAGAGACTTCAGAATTCCAGTCAGTATAAGAGGGCCCATAAGTTTCAGCTGATCCATTTTTGCCTGCATACAATTGAAAGGAAGGTCGAATAACTACTTTACAATGTTTCCCATTCAATAAATGCCAAAGAAAAATTCACATGCAGCTTATGGGTGAAAATCTCCAAGAATATGCGATAAGATACAAGAAAGGTCAGCAGCTATCCTTTCCAATATCTATGTGCAGCAATTCCCCGACTTCGCACAGAAACTTACAACATGAACATACCCTTCAACTGCATAAAGTGTCATTAAGTCATATATGGACTTCAAATTTTCCATTAAAAAAAGTTTCCAGAATATTGGCCGGAGACAGGACCAAACATGAGTCATTTTATGGCAACAACTGTCCAGCATGGTTAAGCTCAATGAAAACTCCACAGAAATTGCAAGATCACACGAGATAGATAGTGAATAAATTATCCAGTCATATGTAGCCAGCATTGAAAGCAGAGAAATAGGAAGTTAGCTGTGGTGTGGCAAGAATTTTAGCAAATTCACAAACATATGAAACATTGTGGTGACCAAATGGTTGTGGTGTGCTCAGTTTCCATGTTACAAAAAGGGGGAGGAGAAAAAAAAATATTGGCGTATATTTGATACAGTACTCTGCTGTTTCCCTTTAACTATCCAATTCGGGGATTTCAGCATATCCTCACCATCTCATGCTAATCATATTGGATACCCACTACCAAACCAAACCCTCAAAACTCCCCACTCCCCCTCAACTGCCTGTACTGGCTTAGATAGTGGCACCAGCACCAATGTCATGAATCTACAGTTTCTAGTCATGAAATCAAGGCTTGAAACTCTGCACCTCCACGCCCTAGAAGTTCCAAATCGAGTGCTCAAATCACCCATGACACCAATTACTATGAAACTCCTGAAATTTCTAATAAGAATTTTTCCAAAGAACTACAATTATTTGTTGAAAATTCAACACTTCACTGAAAGGAATCATAAAATTGTTGTTATTATATTTCCAATATTTATTTCTTTTTTTAAGAACATCAACATAAGAGAACTATGATTAAAGGAAAAGGAAGAAGAATAAGGATAATAAGGAGAACCAGATATCCTCCTAGAGAAGAAAAGGAGAAAAAATAAAGAAATAACAGCTGCCATAGTGCCTTAATGCTCTCAACGAGCATCTGAATAAATACGAGGAAGATGCATTGAGTAGAATACACCACCGCTAAAGTCAACCATGCATCATGTAGACTTTATAAAACATTGAAGGCGGATAGGGAAGCCCCTACTCAAGTGTCCCCTACAGATAGAGAGAGTTGAAAGCAGAGGTTGAAGACCCTGAAGACCCTGCCTGAAAGCCCCAGTAGAATCAACATCTCTTACTCTGTGTATCCTCCTCCTATGAAGATCATGGCCAAATATGAACTTATTACTGTTTGAATCCATACAGTTTTATTTAACATGGAAACCTTTTTATTGGGTTATCAGGTGTAAATGCTAAAGAGAGATCGCATATAACCCGATATATAATCGCCGTAACGGTTGCGATGGCGCGGTTGCGGTTGTAGGGTGTAAAGGCCGTAGCCAAGGTTTCGGAAAGCAATTGCAATTGCGGTTGTGGTTGCTATAACGGTTGCGGTGGCACGATTGCTGTTGTGGGGTGTAAAGGTTGTAGCGTAACGATTGCAGTAACCAGAACCGTGAATTTTTTTTATTTTTTGCACAATTTGAAAAAAAAAACTTATCAATACACTTTTTTTTTTTTTTTTTCAAAATCACATTTATTGGGGTTTAAAATAAATTTTGATCAATTTTTGTTAGCTTTTAAGTATAAATCAGCTAGTTTTTGTTAGTTTTTAAGTATAATTTTCACAATCAGTTAGTTTTTTCAAATCACTATAAAAGGAGCTTTTAATATTTTATTTCAATAGTTAATAACTTTAAGAATAATTGATTTTAAATGTCTACAAAATTATTTTTGACCAATACCTGAACTAACTAAATAAAAAATATTTACAATTATTAAATGAAATGATTATAAAAATAACACTCTATTAATACACATTAATGTGTGCTTGGGAAGAGAAAAATTGGGTACATATAAAAATAAAAATTGTGCCATGAACAAAAATTGTTTTTGAGCTTTTTTTTTTTTTAAAAGACATTTTTTTTAGACAACACGTTATAGCTAACTAAATAAGATTATTTACAATTAAGTATTAAATGAAATGAAATGATTATAAAAATAAAAATAGTGCCACAAACAAAAATTATTTTTGAGCTACTAATTTTATTTATTTTTTTTAAAGACATTTTTTAGACAACACATTACAGTAACAAAATAAAAAATATTTATAATTAAATATTAAATGAAATAATTATAAAAATAAATACAATCACTGTTTATATATTTTTTATTTTACATGTTAATGTAATGAAATAAAAATTAAAAAATAACTTATAAAGAAAAAAAAAATCATACAAGGTTTTTTCTTTGAGTTTAGATCACTTGACTATTCGTTCTTCTTTTGTAAGTTTTTTTTTTTTTTTTTTTTTTTTTTAGAAAACATTGAAGGCGGATAGGGAAGCCCCTACTCAAGTGTCCCCTACAGATAGAGAGAGTTGAAAGCAGAGGTTGAAGACCCTGAAGACCCTGCCTGAAAGCCCCAGTAGAATCAACATCTCTTACTCTGTGTATCCTCCTCCTATGAAGATCATGGCCAAATATGAACTTATTACTGTTTGAATCCATACAGTTTTATTTAACATGGAAACCTTTTTATCAGGTTATCAGGTGTAAATGCTAAAGAGAGATCGCAGATAACCCGATATATGATCACCATAACGGTTGCGATGGCGCGGTTGCGGTTGCAGGGTATAAAGGCCGTAGCCAAGGTTTCAGAAAGCAATTGCAGTTGCGGTTGTGGTTGCTGTAACGGTTGCGGTGGCACGATTGCTGTTGTGGGGTGTAAAGGTTGTAGCGTAACGATTGCAGTAACCAGAACCATGAATTTTTTTTATTTTTTGCACAATTTGAAAAAAAAACTTACCAATACACTTTTCTTTTTTTTTTTTCAAAATCACATTTATTGGGGTTTAAAATAAATTTTGATCAATTTTTGTTAGTTTTTAAGCATAAATCAGTTAGTTTTTGTTAGTTTTTAAGTATAATTTTCAAAATCAATTAGTTTTTTCAAATCACTATAAAAGGAGCTTTTAATATTTTATTTCAATAGTTAATGACTTTAAGAATAATTGATTTTAAATGTTTACAAAATTATTTTTGACCAATACCTGAACTAACTAAATAAAAAATATTTACAATTATTAAATGAAATGATTATAAAAATAACACTCTATTAATACACATTAATGTGTGTTTGGGAAGAGAAAAATTGGGTACATATAAAAATAAAAATTGTGCCATAAACAAAAATTGTTTTTGAGCTATTGTTTTTTTTTTTAAAAGACATTTTTTTTAGACAACACTTTATAGCTAACTAAACAAAATTATTTACAATTAAGTATTAAATGAAATGATTATAAAAATAAAAATAGTGCCATAAACAAAAATTATTTTTGAGCTACTGATTTTATTTGTTTTTTTAAAAAACATTTTTTAGACAATACATTACAGTAACAAAATAAAAAATATTTACAATTAAATATTAAATGAAATAATTATAAAAAAAATAATTATAAATATAAATACAACCACTATTTTATATATATTTTATTTTACATGCTAATATAATGAAATAAAAATTAAAAAAAAATTAAAAAAAAAAATCCATACAAGGTTTTTTATTTGGGTTTGGATCACTTGGGTATTCGTTATTTTTTTGTAAGATTTCTAATATAATTTTTTTGAAAAGGAAGCTATTTAGAATATTGTAAAGATGTGTAACAAGCCGTTACGTAACACTAAAACAGCCATTACACGTGAATTTTCATCACCCCGCAAAAGCGGGTGTAACGGGTAGCGCCTACTGCCGCAACTGTTACGTAACACCGCTTTTTGAAACCTTGCCACCAAGACAATCATTGTTTTGTCAATTAAGCTTGCACAAGGCATTGACAGCTAGCAACAGAATGACACCTCATCCAAAATTCAAAGGAGAGCAGCTCATCCAACTAATCCATGAAATAGAGGCACTTTTGTCAAAAATGTTTGACTACACCAGATAAAGAAAAAAAATTATACTTTTTCTTTGTGGAAGTACGTTGCACGTGGTGAATGATGGTTGGTCATAACCACTGACAATGCCAGACAAAATTAGAATAATTATAGAAGGGACTACAAGAGAAACAATGGAGTCATACAAGTGCACTACTCAGAAAGAATCACAAAACCTAGTAATCTTAGACATGAAAACTTATGCAAAACATGCAGGTACGTACACGTCAGGAAGACTGTCATTGTGTTTTTTGCTTAGTCAATATAATTTATCATGCCACCAAGGTAATAAAAAGCAGTCACAACTGTTACGTAACGGTTGTGGTGGTCACCACCACCCGTTAAAGCCGCTATAGCAGAATGACAAAAATTCACATGTGTAGCAACTGTTTTGGTGTTACATAATGGCCGTAGCGGTACCATAACGGCTGTAATGGTCTGTTCACTCTTTTACAATATTCTGAATAGTTTCTTTTCCTCCAAAATAAATAAATAAATAACAAAAGCTTACAAAAAAAAAAAACAAAATTTTTAAATTTTTATTTCATTACATTAGCATGTAAAATAAAATATATACAAATAGTGGTTGTATTTATTTTAATAATTATTTTATATAATATTTAATTGTAAATATTTTTTTATTGTTACTGTAATATGTTGTCTAAAAAATGTCTTTAAAAAAATAAATAAAATCAGTAATTCAAAAATAATTTTTGTTTATGGCACAGTTTTTATTTTTATAATCATTTCATTTAATACTTAATTATAAATAATTTTATTAATGCCTCGTTTGGGAAGTAACCTTTTTAGCATAAAAGCCAAAAAGTCACTAAAAAAATCAAAAAGTCGTTACCTATACCAAAAAGTCAAAGATTCAATTTTCACTCTACTTTTTGCACATCTTTTTCGTAAAAAATCAAAAGATCATCCTAAACACACTAGTTTTTTTTATATCATATTTTAGCCAAAAAGTAAAAAAGTTACTAAAAAAGTCTGTTCACAAACGAGGCCCTAGTTAGCTGTAAAGTGTTGTCCAAAAAAGTGCCTCAAAAATAATTTTTGTTTTTGGCACAATTTTTATTTTTATTTTTATAATCATTTCATTTGATAATTGTGGATATTTTTTATTTAGTTAATTTAGGTATTGGTCAAAAATAATTTGTAAACATTTAAAATTAATTATTCTTAAAGTCATTAACTATTGAAATAAAATGTAAAAAGCTCATAGTGATTTGAAAATAGGAAATATATTGGATCATACTTAAAAATTTGGATAAATTACAAATACACCCCCTAAGGTTTACTTAAAATATGAATTGCCTCTTGTGATTTGGAAAATTACAAATACCTCCCTGACAGAATTTTTTATTTAAGAAAATTAATTGAAAAAGTGAAATTTCTAACTGTTCACCTATACAATAATAAAATTATCTGAATGATTAATTGAAATAAAATTTTAACATTATTAAAATTTGTAATTAAGATAGAGTACATGGAGTATAAATTTAGTAACAGTAACAATGAAAACAGAGGAGAAGTGAAGATTGAGAACCAAGAACTGCCTAAAAGTGAACATTTTCGTTATTTAGAATTGATTATCACAACAGCGGGGGAGGTTGATGCAGTTGTGGCCCATAGGATTAAGTCGGGATAGTGCAAGTGAATAAGTGCGTCTGGGGTACTGTACGATAAACGAATAACTACTAGACTAAAAAGTAAGTTCTATAGAACGGCTATTAGACCGGCGATATTGTATGGGACAGAGTGTTGAGCAACCAAGAAACAACATGTAGATAAGATGAGTGTGGCTGAGATGAGGATGTTAAGGTGGATGTATGACAAGACTAGACAAGACATAATTAAGAATAAGTGTGTTCGAGAATGGGTGGGAGTAGTACCGATAAAAGATAAGTTGAGAGAGAATCGATTGAGATGGTTTGGTCATATTCAACGGAGATCAACAGAAGCAATAGTGAAGAGATGTGATGCTGTAATGGTAAATGGAAGTGTTAGGGGACGGGGTAAGCCTGGATTAACGTTAGCTAGCGTTATAAATAGAGATATGAATCTACTTAATTTGACTAACGAAATGGCCTTTGATAGGGTCGCGTGAAGAAAAAAGATTCATATAGCCGACCCCATTTGATAGGACTTACGGCTTGGTTTGGTTTTATTAAAAGCTGTTAATTAACTTGATGATTTATCAATAAAATGACCTATTTGTTATGAAATTAGAGACCTTAAGGGGCATAATGTAATTTCTAGAACCACAAGGGGTAATTTGTAATTTAAGTAAAGCTCAAGGGGCGTGTTTGTAATTTATCCTAAAAATTTAAAAAAATTATCAAAATCTATTTTAAACCCCAATAAATGTGATTCTGAATATATATATATATATATATGCGTATCAATAAATTTTCTTCAAATTGTGAGAAAAATAAAAAAAAAATTCACAATTTCGGTTATCGCAACCGTTACGCTACGGCTTTTACACCCCACAACCGCAACTGTTACCGCGATCGCAACCGCTTTTTGAAACCTTGCATGCCACCCAACACAAAAAGGACAATTTTATCAGCAGTTCAGCATTTGCTTTCACGTTTGAAATGCTTGTCCGGATAATTGTGTCAAACTCAATTCTGATGTCATCAAGGAAAATGAAGAGGTCAGACACTTGAATGAGCAAAATGCATCCATGTGAAAGGATAACAAATATCTGTCTCTACAACGACCTAACTAAAAAAGCTAGAGCCTTTTCCTTTGACGTTTCATGCTATCGGTGTGCACCCTAGTGATATAAAGGGTGCTTTTGCAGTTGAGGAAGGATTCACCCCCGCATATAAATATTTTTTAAGGAAATATAAGAACATCAGAAAAATTAAAGAATCTCAAACTAAGAGATTTAAATATATAAGTGACTATTTTTTTGGATAAATTAAATATTTTCTAAATGTTTAAGGGAACAAAGAGAAGGGTTTCAAATTTTATTTGGTTTTTAATGTTCATTAGTTTTCAGGCAGACCTTTGTTTCTATATTTTTTATTTGCAAAAAAACAGACTATAAAACACTCCACATAGCTTAAAAAATCAGAAATGAAACAGACAACTAAACATTTAGAAAAACACACAACTAAAAATGCCCCGAAGAAATGCTGGATTAAGGACATGGCAATTAACTATGTAGCTTAAAAAAATCAGAAATGAAACATAAAGTCCTTACATGCTTGAACACCCAGACAGTGAACTCCATTCCCATCTGCCTCAACCTTGAGGTGGTACCACTTCCTATCACATGCCAAAATTTGAACAAATTCAAACATTGTATACCAATGAAATAGATGGGGATTAGGACGGACTTATGCTGCTTACCATATATGCATCCAAAAATACACTGTAAAGTTGATGGGAAACTATTTGCTGCTGTAATTGATCGACAGAAAATAGACATCAGCCTTGCCCTCAGAGCAGGATTGCCTGGAATGACTCTAGATTCTGGAGCAATACGTTCAGCTTCGGTATTACCTGCACAAAAATGTAAATCAATTATGTACTCAAGATGTGCTATAGTAAATTATAGGAAGCAAATGATCTCTAGACACGTAAGTCATTCTAATCAAAGTAAAAAGGTGACCGACAACATGCACAATAATTTAACTGATTAGAATTATCAGAAACACTTACATGAACTCATTAATGATGTTTTAGGCTGGAATTGTGAACTCAAATATTGCTTATGTAACTTGCTTTAGAACACTAAATTCCAGATGATGGCAGATGTATATACCTTATATCCCTTTTGGTAGTAGTCTATTAATGACATTTTAGGCTGGAAAGATTTCCAACCATGATATCTTAATCTCTTGACAACCACAATCTCGTTAGATTAAGCAGAACTCCAGAACTTAAAAGACGCCAAGAAAATGGTGTGATAGTCAAAACTCTTTCGTTTTCTTTTCTTTCCCTCTCTTTCTTCTTTTTTTTCTTTCTTTTTTTGTTTGTTTGTTTGTTTGTGTGTCTGTAAGCGCACGCAAGTGTGTCACTACAGTTAGTAGTATCCAGTCCATCTTCAAAGATAATTAAGAAAAGGCCAAACATACAGCTGACTCACATGCTTAAGAGACCTCATATCATACCAATGACCCACTGAGCAAGTTTTACACCTTCTCAAACTCACAATTCAATTCAGTATATATAATATATATATATATAATTATATACATGCATCAAGATTTTAAAAAGCGTCTGCAACCGTTCCGTAACGCCGTTGCGCAACGGTTGTGGTGGTTACCGCCAACCGTTACGGCCGCTATAGCGGTGTGATGGAAATTTACATATTTAACGGCCGTTTTGATGTTATGCAACACCCACAGCGGTACCGTAACAGCCATAACGGTCTGTTACACACCGTTATACCCTTTTACAATATTTTGAATAGCTTCATTTCGTAAAAAAAAAATTACAAAAGGAACCGAAAGGCACAAAACATCAAACGCAAAACAAAACAAAATCTACAAAAGCAAACACATCTGGCTCAACTGAAAGTGGAACCCAACTATGAAGCACCAAAAGTAACGGACTTTCCAACCATGATATCAAGCGAACAATCCCCTAGAATATCCGCATGTTATGCACCAGCCAAATAAGCCACAGTAAACAATGAGCAGCATGTAACCACGCCTTCCATCGCCGTCTCCCAACCCTCGTACCACTCCAGCTCTGTAACAAGCCCACCATTGTCCTTGGTTGGACCAAGACAAACCAAAAGTTGCCACAATGAACATTCAAAGCCTCGAAGGAACTGAACAATGGATAAGAAAATAATTCACCGTCTCCACATCCCTACAACACATGCTACACCTATTAACTATAATATGCCGACATCGAATCAAGTTATCAATCATCAAAATACAACCTAAAGCCGCCGTCCACACAAAGAACGCAACTTTGGAAGGACTCCCAAGCACCCAAATATACCTCCATGGAAAGGGAACCACTACCCCTGCCATAAAAGCCCGATAAAACAAAGCCACAGTGAAAATCCCTTCCGCCTTTGGACAATCCCATAACATAACATCCTCCCCCACCCCATCAAGCTTGCAGCCCATACAAAAACCCCAATAAACCCACCAATTGATCCAACTCCCAATCTTGGACATCACAATGCAATTGAACATTCCACACCACTATACTCCCTTGCCCAGTCCCACAAGATGCCACAGTAGCCTCCCGATCCACCATGTCAAAAATCAAAGGGAACCTCTCCTTCAATGGAACCTCACCACACCACTTATCCCTCCAAAATCGAACCCTACTCCCAAAATCAAACCCTACTCCCCTCACCAACCTTAAAACTAACCCAACCCCAAAACTCCGACCACCCTTGCCACATGCCTTTCCATAAACTCTGCCCATGAGACTGCCCCATGCTCACCATACACCCTCCCCCACCCCCCCAACACCCCAAACCATACTTAGCCGCCACCACCTTCCGCCACAACTATTTCCCCATAAGAGCCATGTTGAACTCTTGCAAGCCTTGAATCCCCAAACCCCGCTCCTCCTTTGGCCAACAAACCCAATCCCAGGCCATCAAGTGATAATAGAAACCCTCCCCCCTCTGCCCCATAAGAAATCCCGTTGAAGCTTCTCAATCCGCCTCGCAATTGCCACAGGAATCACATGCACTGACATAAAATATGTCGGAATACTGGACAAAACACTCTTAATCAAAGACTCACTGCCAATATGACAAAAAAATTCTGATATGAAGTTCCTCAATTTCTCTACGCTTACCAGACTCACTTCTAGGTACCCCAGGAAAAGACTTCAAGTTCCACCAGAAACATACAAGTTACTTTCTGCTTCTTAAGACACATCCTAAAAATAAAATTCTAAATCAACCATGAAAAACTTTCGATTTCTATAGATTACAATTGACCTCTTAGAGTGCGAAATTTTAGAACAAATAAAAAATAGAAAATATAGAATAGTATTTTTGTTGCCCTCTTGACTTCACAAAGACAAGCATAAAGTACCCTTGACCCTGCTCACCACCCTACCCCCTTCATGTCCCCTTTGTCCATCATAATTAATAGACCATTTCTAAGTTTTTCTCTACTCCCTTATCCAACCTGCACCCTCAATGACCACTTCTCGAGTCTTTCATAGGTGAAGAGTTAAGCCATTTCACCTCAATAGCCTCCAACAAATAGATGGCTTCCTTCTCAAAACCCTAGCAGGACACCTCCAGAAGCTTGCTAAACCCCTATATCCTCCTCAGCACCCATTAAGAAACTTTGGTTGTTTTCATCCCAGCTTGCAACGAATCATCCATCAAAACCCATCTAGAGCCTTTGCTGCTATTGGAATGTATCTAATAGGTGCCACATACTGACCTCAAAGGTCCCTACATTCCAAATGAAGAGGGACTCCAACAACCCAGATCTACACTTGCTTCTGCAACATGCCCGGTTTGAGATAGCCTCTTGAAGACGACCACCAATCCAAAATGAACAGAGCTTCCGTTAATCCCAAGACCTAAGCCCAGCAACAACATCTACGTTACACGAACTCTCTGGTTTTTTAGAGGTACCCGTGTTGACACGACACGACATAGGCACGGGCATGGGCACGGGCACGGGATATGGCTAGATACAAACGGATATGGCTAAAACTCAAAGATGGAGCAAGAGAAAGAGAGGGAGGGGGGAGCTAAAACTCACCTTTGCGAAGCAAGTTGAGTTGCAAAGCAAGATCGAAACACGAACCCTAGTTGCGAACTCGACTGAATTAAAGGAGATTTGAAACCCAACTTCACGAAGTCGATTCCATTTAGAAAACAACCCTAGGGCTTCGATTCCTCTTTGGTCTCTCTCTCTCTCTCTCTCTCTCTCTATCCTCTTCTTCTACCGACTCGCGTCTCTCTTCTTCTATCGTTGTCTTTTCTTCTTTCTTTATCTCTCTTCCTTTTAATATAATAATATAGTATATCATAAATAATATAATTTTTATGCCTAACATAAAATAATTTATTTTTATCATGTATAATATAATCTATTTTAGGGGGCCTTACGTATAGGTCCTAATAAGTGGAGTTATTGTCCAATAGGTCCTATAATAATTAATGACATTTTTCATTAAACACTATTAAAAAATGTCACTAATTGTTAATTTTCAGCCATAGTTTAAAAATTGTCACAAAAAATGTCACTAATTATAAGTTTCAACGACAATTTGAAAATTTTGTCACATAAAAAACGTCACTAAGCCCTCGTTTGGGAAGAAAACCTTTTAGCCTAAAAACCAAAAAATCACTAAAAAAAATCAAAAAGCCAACAACCCTATACAAAAAAGTCAAAGATTCCCTTTTCACTCTATTTTTTGCACATCTTTTCGTAAAAAATCAAGAAGTCATCCCAAACATACGAGTTTTTTTTATATCATATTTTAGCCAAAAAACTAAAAAGTTACTAAAAAAGCCTATCCCCAGATGAGGCTTAATTGTAAGTTTTAGCAATAATTTATAAAAATCGTGACAAAAAAAGTCACTAATTGTTAATTTTTAGTGACCTAGGCAAAAAATCCTCACAAAAAATTATTTTTAGCGACGCTTTTACCAGAACTTATTTTCAATAGGACTTGATAGGAATTAAGTCCAACTATTAGGATCTATCGGTAGTTTACCCTTTATTTTATGCCTAAAATAATTTTTATTTGTTATTTATTTTTTAACAAAATCTGATATTCCTTAGTTATTTTTAACTCATCTTCATTTAATACATATATTTAAAAAATAACTATTTAACGTATTCTTGTACCCATA